GGAGACAAGCTTGCAAGATTTGGATTGCAAGAATTCACACTGGTGACTGGGCTTAAAGCGGGGGATTTGGAGAACGAGGATCCAAAGCTAGGGAAAAATTGTAGACTCGTGAAAGAGCGTTTTAAGCGTAGCAACGGCAAAATAAAGAGAGGTTTATTGTTACAAGTTTTCAAACGCTGCAAGCATAAGAATGATAAATATAAGTTGGGCCTCCTCGTCATATTGATGTACGTGGTTTTGGCAGCAGAGGAGAATACATTTGTTAACCCATGGTTGTTTTATTTGGTGGATGATCTCGATAGATTTAACAACTATTCATGGGGGAGAAAGTCATACGAGTACACTATTAAGGTTTTTAAACGTAATTTGCGAGACATGTTGAAGGGTTATACAACTTCTCAGCGATATCCGTATTCTCTGCATGGATTTCCATTTGCAATCATGGTAATATGTTCTAAAATCATTTAAACATTACATTTTATTTAATTATGTTACTAAAAATTAAATTTATGATTGTACAGATTTGGGCATTTGAAGCAATTCCCGATGTTGGAAAGAAATTCGGTCGTGTAACAGTCGATTCCAGAATTCCAAGAATGATAAGCTGGGAAATGTCCAAGCAACTTAGGGGGGAAACACTTTGCACATTTTTTGAATCGTCAAATGTAAGTTTTATTTATCAAAATGTAAATGGCGTATCAATAATTATAATAAAACAATTTGCTGAATAATTATACATTCTTGTTTTTTCAGATAGAGGTACATTGTACGCTTAATCCTACAGACGATGAATTGCTGGAGCCGTTCTGGAAGGAATCCGGACCTTTTGATAGTGAAGCAGATCCTAAGTTGGAAAAAGTTGCTTCCAAGGATGAAGGCGAAAAAGACTCTGAGAGTGATGATACTCAGTCAAGTTTCACTCGCCCACAATGTCCTAAGACATCGGATCGACCATCTATGTCTAGCCATCTACATTCATCCAAGACAGCTAGACGACCCCTACCTTCTTATGACTATATCACTCATATAATAAAACAAGAAATAAGAGGTGTTGAAGAGTGGCTCCGAGGCGAGATGTCAGATCGCTTCGATTGAGTAGAAAGGAAAATTGATTTATTTCTCCAATTGGCTGGACAAGGTGGAGTTCAGTCGGAAAGAAGCAAATTTGATGATCGTGCTTTTAGTAAAGGCAATCAACAGAACAAAGAGACAAGAGAGCGAGATGAGGTAATTATTGAAGAATGCTTTCATGAAGAAGTCACACCGAATAAGCAATCTGAGGCTTTTCCTACATATGATGATGGTATATTCTCTCTTGTACATTTTGCAATAAGTTACAAATAATTTTTATATTGGGTTCCGTTTGTTGGATTTGTAGGATTTTTATGTTGGGTCCCATTTGTAGGATTTCTATCAGATCCTTCATCTGCTATAGTTTTGTACCAACAACGGCCTTTAGTCTGGACTGAAGAGACCTTTCGAACCGAGGAAGCTCGACAAGATGATGTCACAGAGAAGGTGGCTAGGACAAAAGAGGATTCAAACATATCTAACAAAGGTACAAATAATTTACGTTTCAATATTTCACTTTTCAATCTTGTGTGTTAAAATGGAATGAATTGTGTTCCATCAACTTTTGTAGATGATTATGAGAAGCCTTCGACATCTTCGCATGTTTGCCAACCTAGTAATGAAATCATTGTCATCAAGGATCCGAATTCTGAATTGCCTGTAGGAAGGGCGCATCGAGTTAAGAGAAGAGCAGCCGTGCTGCTTTCTCCATACACTAATCCCTTAAAGAGGAGAAAATTTTTGAACATTCAAGCATATAACCCTTTAAGGGAAGTAGATCCTGCAAAAGTTGAAGACCTCAACAAGTAGTTGGCAAATGCATCCACAAGGTAATTTATTTTATTCCAGTGGTTGGCGTAGTGAAGGGTGTAATTTCGAATTTGCAAGTTAGCTTAGTTTGATATTATTGTTGTCACAGTGATACAGTAACCTTGGCTATCTGTGAAGTGCGAAGGAAATTCTTTGATGAACTATTGAAAGATGACGGGTGGCTTATCGATGATGTAAGTAATATTTGTATATTAGAATTATTTTTACTGAAAAATGCATTTAATTAATCATGTTTTGGTGTACAGCATATCGACTCGGCCTTATACCACATTAGGGAAAGGGCAGTGACATATCCACATATATTTCAGCAAGATTGTGCTATATTGGATTGTTATTTTTGGCAACTTATGAAAAAAGCCTACCTAAAAATGGGTGCACGTAAAAAGAAAAATGGTAACTATGTATTTGACCAAGAGCTCGTCGATTATGTTGAAGGGGCTTCACCGGTGCTCGGTAAACACTGGAGTAACTGTAAATTTTTGTATGTTCCTTACTGTGTACCGGGTTCTCATTGGTTTGCACTGAAGATTGATTTGACGGAGCGAACTATTTACATTTACGATAGTTTGCCAAAACACATCCGCGCTGCTCAGCTGGCCGAATGCATGAAACCTATTCAAGTGGTAATTCCCTTGTTGATAAAGGAACACATAGCGCGTGAAGAAAAATTCAGCACCAGCATGTTTCGTTATCAGAGGGTTGTAGTTCCTGAACAAACAAACGGGTAAACTTGGTTGAATATAACATTTAGCACCAATATCTTTGACTTCTTTCGTCTAATTCATGTCTATCTAATTTTTTTCCCATTATGAATTTGTAGGTCTGATTGTGGGCTTTTCACAGTGAAATTCATTGAGTTTTTACAAGCTCAATTGAATATGAATTTGATTCGTCCGGAATATATGTCTATTTGGAGGAACAAATTAGCTGCAGAGATATTTGCATGGCACTTTGATCCGTAGATTTAGTGAATGTTTTGAAGTTATTTTTGTATTTAGACCTTGGAGATTGATTTTGCAACCTAGTAAATCCTTCAAGTTGAATGTTAATTGAAGTGACAGCTTTTATGTCTTTCATTTAAATGTGCTTATGCATTTCTATGAAAATGGTAATTTGGTTTAGGGTTTTGGTCAAGTTTTATTCTTGAGAACGGCGCTTGTGCCGTTAATGATATGAGAGAAAAGCCAAAAGAACGGCATAACTGTCGTTATGTTGTTCGGTCATTGTATGCGAGAACACCACTAGTGTCGTTACTGATTTTGAAAAGATAGGGAGAACGACACAAGTAGCGTTATAAAGACACAAACATATTCATAAGAACGGCACAAGTGTCGTTACCGATTATAGAGAACGACACAACTGTCGTTATAGTGACAAACATAATAACGGGAATGACACCTTACCGTATTTGCAAACAAATACCGTATTTTTTCAATATAAGCGTTAACAAAATATTAAATATTAAATTTTCAGATTTGCATTTTTATTTCATTAGAAGTTAGAATTACAAGTCTACGAGAACGACACTAGTGTCGTTACTGATCTTGAAAAGATATTGAGAACGACACAACTGCCGTTATTCTGACAAAATTAATAA